GTGAGCCAAAAAGAAAAAAATAAACAAAAAACCCTACTTTCTTATCAATTTCTTTAGAACCATTTCTTGGTTTTAGATTCAAAGGGCACTACCTATAACCTGAGTTGTCCTTTTTCATTCTCAATCATCCATGAAATCTTCTAGTCCTTTCTTAAAAATGAACTAGCTCTGTTCCTTCTACTTACATGTACTGTCTTAGAACACGCTCTCATTTTCATCTATCTGAATTTACTGAAAAGTATGTTGCTTCCATAATGTTTTTCTCATTCTTTCCCGCCTCAAATTCATTATTCATGACATTGCCACACTCTCATCATGAACACAGTATCACTTGCATTGTTAGGCCCTTACTAATGAACCTATAACAATCCTCTTAGCAAAGCAAGCCCTAAAATACAAAATTTCTACTTGCCAGTGAGTGCAGTAATTCCATCGTTATCATTCATAGTCTTTTCATCACTAAGGAGAGTGAAGTTTTTATTAATGATTGTAGTTTATGTTGATCTCCTTCTCTAATTTTTTACTGCTCAAGTCTAAAAAAGTCACCTCTTCCAAAATTTTGTGTTGCTACTTATCTGCTTAATAATCCTGGTCAAGAAACTTAACCTTTATTAGTGCCTTATTAGTGAAATGTTCTCATGACCTAATAGGAATTGGGATAGATTTCTTTACCAGGTACTTTATTATTATTTGGCAACCATTTCATCCATTATCATTTCTCATTAAAAACTGCAGATGATGGAGCTGGAGTGATAGCACAGCGGGTAGGGCATTTGCCTTGCACGAGGCCGACCCTGGTTTGATTCCCAGTATCCCATATGGTCCCCTGAGTACCGCCAAGAGTAAATCCCGAGTGCATGAACCAGGAGTAACCCGTGTTAATGCCAGGTATGACCCAGAAAAAAAAAATAAATAACTGAAGATGATGAAGCCAGAGCAGTAGTAGAATGGGTAGGGCGTTTGTTTTGCACGTGGCAGATCAAGGGCTGGGTTTGATCCCCGGCATCCCATATGGTCCCCTGAGTACCACCAGGTGTAATTCCTGAATGCAGAGCTAGGAGTAACCCCTGAGCATCGCTGGGTGTTACCCAAAAAGCTCCCCCACCCTCAAAACAAAACAAAAACCCTGATGGGGACTTTCTTATGCTTCTCTACTAAAACCAATTAACATACAATTTTGCTAAATATAAAAAGAAACATATCATTATGACACTGCTTTATATTTAGTGATGAGCAGTGGATCCCATTCTAAATAACATTTTGATATACTTATCAGGAGGCACTTTACTTCTTGACCCACTATAGAACCACTCCCTTTTCTATTCAATGTATTTCTTTAAACACTTACCAAATTCATTGTCTCTTTTTAGAGAAAAATATCTTCCACTAAGCTACTTTCCATTAAGTTACTCAATACTGTCCACAGTAAGCAATAAAATGATGTAAATAAATGCTAGTTTGGTGATATTTAGTTCTCTGAGATTCAACTCAACCTATTCTGACCTATTTTGGCCCCAAATTCAGTACTTTGCTTTTGGGGGAAAATTTTTTTTTGCCAGATCAGAAATAGTATTGCATGTTAAAGCAGGTACCACATATGGTCCACTGATCACCACCAGGAGTAAACCCTCAATACTGCTGTGTGTGGCCCAAAAACAAAGATGAAAGTAAAAATCCATTACTTAGCTCATTTTAATGTTAATTAACCCTCTCTGAATTCACAGTTATTTTAACAGGAAATTACAAATGTCTTATTTACTCATCTTTAAAAAGTAAGCCCATTATTGATCAGTATTATGCACATTAATTTTGGAAATAATTTCTTATGCTACTTTAGTGAATAACAAATAGTTACTAACGCGTACTTCCAATGAATATAAAAAATAATCTATACATTCTGATTTTTCATTTGGTAAAAAGTGAAAACTGAGGATTCTGACCAATAAAAAGCATCTATTACAAAGAAAACAAGTTAAGCACAGCACCTAAATGGCCTCTGAGTTCTACAGAAAAGGGCACTTAAGGAGAGGCCACACTGCAAAACAGTTGCCAAGTCTGACTCCAGTAAAGGGCACTTGAAACATCTGGGGAGTGGGAAGGTGAGATAGCACAATGTTTAGTGTTTGTTTGTCTTACAACCAACCTGGTTCAATCCCTGGCACCCAACTTAGTTTCCAGGCCCCACTAGGAGTAATCCCTGAGCTCAGAGCCAGGAGTAAATCTTAAAGAATGATCTGAAAAGTAAATTTTTGGGGTGAGGCAAGGGGGCCACCATGCTAGATGGTATGTGTGGCCACTCCAGGATTAGAGCTCTGTGGTTGCTCCTACAGGTGCAGATAGAATCTTAAGTCTACTGCACATAAAGTACCTACTAAAGTTCTTTGAGCTATTTCTCTTGTCCCAATTTTATTTCAAAGTGTACTTTTCTGGAAATAAAGAGATAGCTCAAAGGGTTGAGAGCACAGCTTGCATGCAGGAGGCCTGGATTCATAGTACCTCCAAGAGTAACCCTGGAGCACTTAGGTGGTGGCACCCTATACCATTGGATGTGGCTTCAAAACCAAACAAAAACAAACCATTAACATAGAACTAGCTTTCTTATATACAAGTTTTTCCCCTGTTGGGGGCTGGGGTGACAGCACAGTGGCTAGGGCATTTGCCTTGTACATGGCCAACCCGGGTTTGATTCCCAGCATCCCATATGGTCCCCGAGCACCGCCAAGAGTAATTCCTGAGTGCATGAGCCAGGAGTAACCCCTGTGGATCGCCAGGTGTGACCCAAAAAGCAAAAAACAAAAAAACAAGTTTTCCCCTGTTATTCTAACTAAGATCTCTTATATATGATCATTTTATAGTAAAAATACCTTCTTCAGGGTCAGGGATGTGACTCAATGCTAAAGTGCATACCTCGTATGTGTGAAGCCTTGGGTTTAATCCCAAGGCAAAGGATGGGAAGGGAATACTGTAAAAAAACAAAAACCAAAACCAATAGTGTTATTCAAATGTAACCATTTACAAAATTATCTTCTCAAAAATATCAGAATCAAAAAAATGCTTTCCCCTCCAATATATAAAACGAATGGTAACATTACAGATAAAATTATATCTCAAAGTTCTTTAAGTATTGTATTCATAGAATTGTTGCTCATTTTTTCAATGTTAGGAGACTGTGTATAAAAATCCATCATAATGTAATCTTCCCAATAGTAACAACAACTGAAGGATCTGATTTTCCCAATAGTAAAAACAGCTGAAGGGTCTGAGACATAACCTGAGAAAAATTTTTGTAATCAGTTGGTAGAGTCATGGGTGACAGAGGGCAGAAAGATAGTACAGCAGGTAAGGTGCTTTCTTTGCACATGAATCAACCAGGTTCAATCCCAGGCACTTGTATAGTTTCTCTAGCATTGCAGGAGTGATCTGTGAGGGCGGAACTAGGAGTAAGCCCTGAGAACTGCTGGGTGTGTCCCCAAAACCAAAACAAAGAGTCAGGATGACAAAGTATCTTTCCCCATGGACAAAAAATTAACAAAAAAGTGGCTTTGATAAAATGCAACGCAAAGACTACCTGCCCGATTTACTTAGAAATAAAAATTAAATGCCTACCTTAAAATATCTAAGCTACAGAAGTCACATTTGATTTGCCATCAAAAGACACAGCATTTTTTTAAAGAGGAAAAAACTATTAATTGAATACTGAAAATTTTAAAAAATTTCCAAACTACAAATGCATTGCTAACTCAAAACAGTTATTTAACAGTGAGACTTTTATAAATAATGAGCTGTGCAATAAACACTTTATTCCTCCAACTGTGATAGTTGTTTTGGGAATCCAAATGTTATTGATCTTAATGTGAACATAATTCTAATTTATCTTTTCTTTCAAAAATCTCTACCATTTTCAGTTAAATAAACTAAATAAAAACACCTGGAAAAATGCAGATTTCTAACAATAGGTGCATCGTATAACAGAATACAGTGTTTAAAAAAATGAAACCAACTAGATCTACATTGTTAACATGAATTTCAAAATAACTTTGAATGAAAAATGAAAGTTGCAGAATACATGTAAGTATATGAGATCAATTATGTAAAGTTTAAAAACACACAAAAGACTACATATTATTATGAATACATACATAGGCAGAGAAAAGTATAAAAGCATGTACAGAAATAATACACATCAACTTCAGAATAGTGGTTACCTATAGGAGGATGAAGGATAGAATGAGATGTTTACAAGGGGGCTTTAGCTCTGATCCACAATGTTCAACATTACAAAAAGATTCAAAACAAATATAGCATAATGTTAACATTGTCAAATTTGGTGGTATTACAGACACTCTTATTTTCTGTACTTTTCAATTTTGAAATACTTTGTAATAAAAACCACAACATTCACAGAATAAAGAAAAAAACTGAATCACTGCTGTCAATTTCAGATAAAATACTAGGCACACTAAAACACAACACAGGTTTTCTTTTCCCCAAAGACAATAAATGTTAACAGGAAACATTAGAAAATTAGCAACTTACAATTTTGTATTATTATATAAAAATACAATTAAACAAGATTTAAACACTTCAAAAACTATCATTGCTTGAATCGGAGTATCTAATTTCACACCACAAAAAGGCTTTGCTTCTTTTAAAGAGTACCCCTTTGCATTTTCTTTTATGCCATTTCCATTATATGAGAATAAAAGGCTTAGTGTACAGAGTAGAGACCTGGCTAACTGTTGTAAATAAGACTGATGAATACATTGTATTCTAATAATAACTATCAGAGGCTCAATTCAGAGATAATAAATCACTGCCAGTACAAAGACTTTCATTTTTTAGTCTGAAACTTTTAACCTGCAAGGGAAAACACATATGGTTTGTATCTTCATTTATCAAAACATGTTTTTTCTTGTCAGGAAAGTTTCCCATCTTTGTCAGATTAATACTTCCTCGATCACAGATGAAGTCTTTCAAATTAAAGATAAACAACTACTTGCCTGTTGTTTCTGATACGCAGTGTTTGGATTTATCTTTGATTCCAGGAGTAGTGATCCTGAAAAAAAAAAAATTCAATTTATAAAATTCTGAATAAAAGAATGCACATTAAAAATCTCCACAACTTCTTAATGTCCTTTTCACCCACGCATCTGAAATAATTACATACATTCAATTCACATTTTTTTCTTTCCAGAGCTGGACTTCGTCTTTAAATTTGAACATATCGTCCTAATTCATACACCCTTAAAGGAAAAAAAAAAATCCATCTAAGATCAATACTCAAACCAAGGACATAAGGAGACTAGACGACTATCAAAGTTTTATTGAAATGAAATTTTAAGGTCTAAATGAAGCCAAACTCTTTTTAAAACAAGTTGTTTTATTGCATTTCCAGTTAAACAAACAAATGACAAAACACCACGACAGGGAATCAAAGACATATATTTAAGAAATCAGTGGAGGGATTTCTCACTTAGAAACAAAAGCCCATTGACTATTTAAAATAAAAGGGAAAGTGCAATATCAAGAATAAATTTTAAGATCGTTGTTTTTCTTTTGCCTGCACGTACCAGGTGCTCCAATCAAGGCGTTTAGGTTACATCGAGAAAGGTGTTTTATTACAGACAGGTCTACATTTTATCATTCAAAAATACTTCACATATGACTCGTACAGGAAGTCAACGAATACAAGCTTGCGATCTGCTTCGGTGCCCTAACTTGTTTGGGCTGTAAAACTCTCCACGTTTTCACCGCACTCTCCACAAAGGCAGCCTAAATTAGGGCTCCCCAGCTTGGTGCGCTTGGTCTCCTAAACACCCGGGGAACAGTCTGCGATAGCCCAGGACGAGGTGCCTTTCCTTTGGGGTTTCCTTAGCACCTGTCGATTGGGGGGGGGGGGGTGGTGGTCAATGGTCAAGTCGGCTTTTTTGTTTGTTTACGTGAAAGAAAAAGAGGCAGTTTCTCAGCTTTGGAAAACGCCCCCCCCCCCCTTTCCGTGTTCTGCGACTGCAACTTTTTCAAGCGTGATGAAAAAAAGGCTGTAGGGTGGGTAGCAGAGAGCTGGCTCACCGAACCCCGAACCTTGTTGGACGACCCGACCAGGGGGGGGGGGCCGGAGGGGGGGAGGAGAAAAATCAAAAATTAAGAGAAGGGCCAGCTTCCTAGACGAGGCGGCTCACCCTCTCGTCTCTTCGTTTACCTCCCTCCTTCGTCTCTCACAGTCCTCCCTCTTCAAAGAGCTGGGGACGAAGGGCCGGGAGGCGGGGGCGCTGAATCACGGTCTGACTAAGGGGAAGTCCAGACAAAGTCGTTTTTTTTTTCTTTCTTTCTTTTTTACCGTACAGAAGCGGAGACAACAAACCCACTGCGCTGTCCCGAGAGGCGGTGGCGGAGGACCCGGTTCGGGGCCTAAAACTCCGGGGCTCTGCCCAACACCGGAGACGCTGGCCCTGATTCTACCGTCTCAATAACCTTACCGTCCGACTCTGCCCGAACCAGCAGCGACATCCCCTTGAGCTCTTCCACATAGGTGGAAGAGACGTGCCCGGTGCCTCGGTCGTCCCATTGCCGGTCTTCATTCAGGGTATAGACTTTCACTCGCCGCCGCGTATCCGACATGGTGGCTGCCGTCCCGCCACTCCAGCCGCCGCTCCTCGTTCACCTCGTCCGCACCCGTCACTCTTGAGAGAGAGTAGCAGCGGCTGCAGCGGCGGCGGCGGCGGCGGCGGCGGAGGCGGAGGCGGCAGCGGCGGCGGCGGCGGCGGCGGCTCCGGAGAGGCCCGAGTTCACCATGGCTCCCGAGGTTCAGCGGCGGGAAGGGGGCGACACGAACCACCGAGACCTCTCCGCCCGGAGTCCTGGCTCCTTTCTTATTTCGCCCCCGCGCACACCCTCCCTGCCCTCCCTTTACCCCTCCCCAGAGCTCGCTCGCTCTCCGGCCTTCGCCGCCACGGTAACTACTACAGATCCGCCATCTTGTAACCCGATTCTCTCTGCCTTTCTCTTCCTCCTCCAGCAGGCTCACACGGGCTGTCCTAGCAGGGGCTACGGCGGCCGACGAGTCTTTTTAAGCGCTGCGCCTCCGCTTCAGCTCGCACTTCCCGGGTCGGCAGTCCTCTGCGATCTCGCGAGGCGGGCTACGAGACTGAAGGGGGCGGGCCTACGTGTTACTTCCTCTTCCCGGCCCCGCCTGCTGGCGCGGGATTTCGCCGGAGTTGGGAGCGTGATCGTCAAGTCCCGGTCGCCGTCTGGTGCCGCGAGGTTGATCTCTGAGCTAGCGGCGGCGAACGTAGACTGCAGAACTAAAATAAAAAAACTGTTTTTGACTTGCTCCCAGCGCTTGTGGATACACCTCTGAGGAAAAAGCAAACCAAACTGTGAAGGTAGTTATCTTTGGACGATTTTAACCCAGAAGGAACTGTGCTTTCAATCCTGTCCGCTAAAGTTTAGAAAGGTTAAACTTTTTCTTTGGTGAAGACGGGGGTGGCTTTGAACCCTTCAAAGGTGACCCGAAACTCAACTAAAACCTGTTACGGAGGCTGTAACAAGTTAAGCATCGCCTCAAGAAGTGTTTTTTTTTTCGTAGAGATTTGTGTTTCATAGGTCTTCAGACTGTTTTAAGTTCTGACAAAAGTGTGTTGACGATTTTCTATTTCCCGCCAAAGCATTTCACCGCTAGGTTTCTGGTAGCTGGTCATTGAAACACATACTTTCCGCTTCACGGAAGTTCAGTGCTTTCCCAATGTTTATAATCTCGGGAAACAATTACTCAGATATATTTAACAAAGTTACTGGAAACTACGTTCCTAATACATCCCAGAGCATTATTTGATTTTTTTTTTTTTTAGGTTTTTCCTTTACCGTTCCCTGTTCTCTTTGCGGAAGTATTATGCCTTGAATAAGGGAAAGAGAAATTCACTTTGCATTTACGTCGTCACCAAACATTGCGAGGTTCATAAGAGTCATGCAGTGGGCAGCGTTTATTTCAATACCTGTTATTAGCAGAATTGTTTTATTGGTTAAGACGGTTCTATCGCCTGTTCTCGATAACCGTTTAACCCATAAGGTAAAAGCTGTGTTTTAGCTCTTTAGTGCATCCTGGGACTTGCAAGACTGGAAGCAGAATATGCCTATGTAGTGACTAGCTTTTAAATGTGGTCTCACTTAAAACGGAGAGACGGTGTCATACAGGGAGGGCACCTGATGAAAAGTTCTAACTTCAAAATCTGGATACATGAACTCTTTATTATGTATAGCAATTGAACTCATTAATTGCTGTGGGTAAAATATTTGAGCCCACAGGGAAAAAAATTCAATCTTAGATCTAAAAGAACTTCACACTTAAACCTTTTTTTAAAATTTAAATTCTGGTGATTTATTGCCTCCTCCATAGGAAGGATGCACTCTCCACTAAGCTATGTTCCTAACCCAACAAAACTTTTGAACCTGATCAACTTAAAGGATCCCTGATTGGAAGCTTGCTTTCGTCGGTGTTCAAGGTTGGAAGGGACAAGGAGACCAAAAATCATAAAATATTCCTGGATTGAAGACACATGGGTGGGTCCAGCAGAGAGGCACAGTACAGTGAGTAGGATGCTTGCCTTGCATGAGGCCAGACAGTTTTGATCCCCAGCACTACAGAGGTTCCCTGACACTGGAAGATCCCTGAGCTCAGAGCTCAGGAGTGAGCGCTAAGCACTGCAAGATATGACACAAAACCAACCAAACAAAACAAACACAGACACTATTAATATCACCCTGGTGGGCTAGAAAGACAGCTCAGGGTTAAGGCACTGCCTTGAATGCCCTAGGCCCTGGTTCCATCCCAGCACTGCTTGACTCACTTCCACCTGGAGAGTCCATTGAGCATTGTGGAATGTACCCAAATCACTAACTGCCATAAAACATGTAAGTTGGATATGGATTCTCAGAGTCACTTTAAAAGCATTAAGAGAGGGCTATGGTGCCGCCAACAGGTCAACCTGTACCTGTGGGGTGAATGTATCAGCAGCCTGATGGTGACTTCAGGCTTCTTGACACCCCAAAATTGCCACTGTGCCTTTGGTTGGAACCAAACAACTTGGGTCTAAGTTTACCAAGAAATTAAAAGGCCAAAAATTAGGTATATGGGAGCCATACCCACAAACCACCTCTGGCTCAGCTATACAAGCTCATTTATTGGCCTTATTTCAGAGACCCATAGATAAATCTCGGAAGAGGCCAAAAGCCACAGTTAATCTCAGATCCGTGCATGGCTGAACAGACTAGGGTAAATCAGAGGGGGGCAGGTTGGCCTGTGCATGCCCAGGCAGAGCCCCCAGCAGCCACTTGCTTCCAGAATCCAAAATCGCTGCCATACCCCCGGTCTTATTCTACGTCTCAGGACGGACCTCACCAAGATATAATCTGAAAGTTTGGATATGCGGGTTTTGTGACTGAAATCTCTAGGCTTTCACAGAGTTGGGGTAGGTTACCACCCCGCCCCACTTCCCAATACACATCACATGGAAGCACTGGCAGTCACCCCCACAAAACAACTCCAGCGCCACACTTTAAATTTTAAAATTTAAACATGATTTAATTTATTGCCTCCTCCATAGGAAGGATGCACTCTCCACTAAGCTATGTTCCTAGCCCAACACTACTGGCCTTGCTTCAGAGACCCATAAATAAATCTTGAAAGAGATCAAAAGCCATAGATAATAGCAGCAAGTCCTAGAAGACACCACAGAGCTGGAGATTTCTCCAGGCCCCATACCAAGCCAATTTCATCGGCGGACACCAGATGGAGTAGGTACACTCTCCCTACCTACTCCAGATGGAATCCCAGTGACCAAGAACTTCAACAAGCAAGGCCCAGGTATGCGGGTTTCAGGACTAAATCTTCATGCCGCATGGTAGCAGAAGTGCTGGGCTGTCCCTACCTGACTGACACCCTCTCCTTGGCCTTGCTATCGAAGCCACAGTGTGCCTCCGGGGACCATCTTATTGTACCAATAGCCCTAGTTCAGAGATGCCCAATTGAATCCCAAAATGAATTAGTGCCCTACAAAAATGTCTCTGGAACCCAACCATTTACAATCTAGAATTCCAGAAGCGTGTGGCTACAGCACACATAATATTTAAAATGAGCAATGGACAATAAATGATCTAGCATCTGCCCCTGGCAGGCAGGCTTGAGTGGTGGTGGGAAAATTCGAGCAAAATATAATGCCCAAAAGTAGAGAGTATTGGGAAAATTGCCTGCCACGGAGGCAGGGTAAGGGGGTAGGGGGGATGTATTGGGGACACTGGCGGTGGAAAGTGTGCACTGGTGGAGGGATGGGTGTTCGGTCATTGTGCAGCTGAATCTCGAACATGAAAGCTTTGTAACTATCTCACCGTGATTCAATAAAAAATAAAAGCATTAAGAGGTTCATATTACACAAAATGAACTTTAACTTGGTGTGGGGAATGAAATAATGAATTATTTCTTCTATTCATTCAGTAAATACTCTCGTAGCAGGTGTTATGCTGACTGTTTGAAATAACTAAAAAAGTCCTTATAAAAAATAAATTTTAGTTTTGGAAAACAGACATGCCAAGTGACTTCACTTTCCATCATACATATGGACAGGGCAATATTTTTTAAAGAGAATAACCACTTCAAGGGAGGTAGTGAATGCCAGGAGAAAAGAGCTAGGAAGCAGGAATTTCAAACTACAAAGGTCTTGACATAGAAGCAAACTCAGTGAATCAGATGAAATCAGTGATTGTGGTATGATCAAAACTCTAGCTTAAATTCTGGTGGAGAAGGCAAGGACGGGAGTGGGAATTGAAAGAGTTGGGGAAACAGAAATTAGCAGCTGACAGTACTGCAGTGGCAATCTTAGAATTTATGGCTCCTAAAGTGGGTAATACCATCCCACTGAGGAACACTGGAACTACCCAGAAGCATAATAGTAGCTTCCTGAGCAATTGGTAGTATTGAATAAAAATTAGGGGGCAGTAGAAGTATAAATCAAGATAAACTTTTTCTTCATTATAAAAGGTAAAAGGTAAAGGCCCTGCCGTTGATCGTCGATTTGCTCGAGCGGGCCCAGTAACGTCTCCATTGGAGACTTTGTTGTTACTGTGTCTGGCATATCGAATACTCTCAGTAGCTTGCCGGGCTCTCCGAGAGGGGCAGAGGAATCGAACTCGGGTCGGCCATGTTGGCCGCTTGTAAGGCGAACGCCCTACCTGCTGTGCTATCGCTCTGGTGGCTCTGTGGCGCAATGGATAGCGCATTGGACTTCTTCATTATATAAGAGTTAGAAGTTGACAGTCATATTTTCACTGTATTTCTCATTTTTAACTAGTTTTAATAAAAATGTGAATGAAATAAACCATTAATATTCTTAGTACTAGAGTTCTGAGAAAACCTGGTAATCCTTTACTAGCCAACTTGTTAATAAACCTTTAACATTCATATCTGTTGAATTATCTCTATTAATTGGTAAATAAGGCCAATGTTAATTAAGAATAATTTAAATGAAGGCAAACTAAAATTAGAGAACGAGAGGGGTTAGAGATATAGCACAGGGAGTAAGGTGTTGCCTTATACTTGGCAGACCCAAGTTTGATCCCTGGCTCCACATGGTGCCCTGAACATGACCAGGAATGATCCCTGAGTTCACAGTCATCAGTAAGCCTTGAGCCCAGCTGGGTATATTCCAGAAAAATAA